GAGGGGGAGAGGGGGAAGTGGGGAAGAATATACAGAATATAATCTGCTTGGTAGTTGTGCTTCATGAAACCAAGGGTTCAATCTCAGGTTTGACACACTCACACACAAGATAGTCAAAAGATATTTGAGGGGGGTGGGGTGGCACACACCTTTAATCCCAGCACTCAGGAGGCAGAGGCAGGCAGATCTCTGTGAGTTCAAGGGCACCTGGTCTACAGGGAGACCCTGTCTCAAAAAGACCAAAACTAAAGCAAAGAAAGCCGGGCGTGATCATGTGTTTTTGTAATCTTAGCACCCTGGAGGCTGAGGCAGCAGAAAAAAGAAAGAAACCAAGGAAAATAGGCATCTGGGGATTTGAGTCCCCATGCAACTTCCTTCTCCTCCTCTTCCTGCTATTTTGAGATACGGTGTCCTGGAACTCACTGTGTAGACAAAACTGGTTTTTAAAAATATTTATTTATTATTTTTATTTTAAGTGTATGAGTGTATTGCTTGCATGTGTTTAAGGGCACTCATGTTGTGCAGTGCCTGCACAGGTCAGAAGAGGGTGTCAGGTGCCCTGGAACTGGAGTTATGAATTTATGAATGGGTGTCAGCCTCTATGTGGGTGTTGGGACTCAAACCCAGGTCCTCTGCAAGAGCAGCCAGTGTTCTTAACTGCTGAGCCATCTCTCCATTCCCAAACTGCCTTTTAACTAACAGTAATCTTCTTGCCTCTGTCTCCCAAATGCTGGAATTGTAGGCATATGCCACTACATCTGGCCCCATTCTCTTAATAATAATGTCATTTTCATATCAAATTTAATAAGTGGCTCTGAGCCTAGGATTGCAGAAGCATGCTAAATACTTCAGATTGGGTTTATAATATGTAAAATTTTCTGTCAAAATGGTTGAAATCTTTTTCTCCTTCATTTGAATGGAAATTGTGTTTCCTTTGTTTTGACTTTTGTTAGGTGGAACTACATAGAGGGATCCAAATTATTTGCTACCTTTTTCCTGGAGTTATCAAAGCTGCGTTGACAACAATAGGAGCCTTCCAGTGTATTCTTACCTACTGACAGATTGCTCCTCCCATACCCTGGAAAGAGTTGGAGTTGGGATATTCAGAGACTGTGGAGCCAGTAAAGTATCTGTTTGTTCCCAAGGAAAGTGTCCTGGGACATTAGGACCAATAATAAAACATTTCAAGGCATAGGTACGGGAAATGTTTTAAACAGACCCTCTCTACAAATCACCTTCCTAAAGTCACAGCCACCTTGACCTTGAGTTCCCCAAATCCAATGCAATGACCCAGGTTTGGGTCCAGCACAACCTCTACCACAAATGGAACGACTATTCATCAGACTCTCACCTTACTTTCTGGGTCCTGAAGAGCTCTGGTGCAGAATAAATTCACCCAGTGTCTCATAACTTAAATCACCTTTGCGTCCCTACCTTAAAATGAACATATTGGCCTCCACCACTGGCTACAATGATTTCCCTGTGGATTCATTTTCAGAGGTGTTACTAAGACACAGCACTGTATTAATCTCCTGACTTCACTTTATTTATTTCATCCTATTTCTTGAAAGTGCTGAAGCTGGAATGATCAATATTCAAACCCTCACACCATTTGAGATCCTTGGGCAAAGATGAGGTTTTCTTTTTTTTCTTACCTGTGCTGTGATTGATGCCACCTGGTGAGCTCCCCTGAATCCTGTTTGTCCTATCCCATTGGTAAAATGCCCCACCCCCCAATCTGCATACATGTAGACCAGTCATTCTATCAATAGATCTACCCTGATAGAATTTCTCTCACCCCATTGGAATTTCACTCAATGATTATATCTAAATTGCTCAAAGCTTTTAATAGCATCAGTGTTAGATAGAGAACTAATCAACTTTGACATCAGTAACACAGTCTCAATTTATAGCCCTCAGCTAAATTTGCATTCGTTAATCATTTTAGTTAACCATCTTGTTTGGCTTAATTGGGTTTGGTGGTATAAACACCAAAAAAAAAAAAAAAAGTTAATTTTGCTACAGTTAAGTGTACATAAATAAACAAATCTTTATAAAGTCATTATTTAAATAACAATAGAAAAGAATTTGAGTTTATTTTAAATTTTTCTTACTATTCCAAATAAAAATAAACTATAGTATATTTTCCTTTATCTTTCTTCCATATATTGGTTCTTGAAATGCCAGTTTTTTTTGTCTTTTTGTATTTGTTATTTAACAGAGTCCCTCTGTACTAGAATTCACTATGTGGACCAGGTTGCCCTCTATTTTTCAGAGATCTGCCTGCCTCTAACTCCAGAGTTCTGGGATTAAAGGTTTGTACCACCACATCCAGCTCAATATGCCAGTTTTCAAGTTTTCTGGATACATTGAAAATGAAAGGACCAGGGCTTGGAAAATGGCTCAGAGGGTTAAAGTGCTTGCTGCATAAGCATGAGGACCTGAGTTTGGATCCCCAGAACCCACACAATAGCCAGGTGCAGTAGTAGGCATCTGTAACTCCAGTACTACGGATGGAGATAGAAGATTCCAGAAGTGGGCCGGCCAGATGATCTAGCCAACCAGTGAGCTTCAGGTTCAGTGAGAGACCTCATCTCAAAAAATATGGCTCAAGAGGTCCTGCCTCAAGATAAGGAACTACAGGCAATCAATAGATGCTGAAGGGGAAGAATCAGTATTCTCCAGGAACTTGCTCCCTGAGAGGTGATCGCAAGTGGGCAGTCCTAAACACAGGTATACAGGAGCACCACTGAATTGACTCTCTCTCTCTCTCTCTCTCTCTATATATATATATATATATATATATGTGTGTGTGTGTGTGTGTGTTCATACATGTAACTTATGTAACATATATATAAGTTCATACATGTAACAATAATCAAAGAAAGGGACAGGAAATTGAGAGTGAATGGGGGAACGTGGGAGGAGTTGTAAGGGGACTGGGAGGGACATAGATGGTATGAAGACTATTTTCATGTATGATGTTCACAAAAAATTTAAAAAGTATATAGTGGAGAGTGACAGACACTTTAGGTTGACCTCTGACCTCCATGGACACACATACTCATGTATTCATGCATGTAGTACACAGATACACACAGACATGCATGTGCATGTACATACAAATAAAAAGACTGTCCCATGTGTTGACTCAGTTTATCACATCTAGTCACAGAAATAGGGTCAATTGAAGAGTGTCTGGGTTTCATTTCATCTAGGTTTGCTTTGGAGGCTGGAGTCTTCAAAGCATCACTCTTGCTTTGATGCCAGAGTACCAAATTTGCATAAAACCAGATGTCTTGTGTTCTGTGTTGTGAAGCAGAGTTTGTGCTCACTGGATTACACTGGATTTTGGGTCTTTTTAGAGTCTGTTTTACCTACCTGATATATTTTGAATTGCTCTTAAGGACCAGCAGAGGCAAAAGATTTATGATGCCAATTTTTGTTTTGAAAAATGTCATATTAGTTGATTAACAAAAATTTATTGTAAAATATAAGCATTTCTGGGCAATGTAATATAAATTTTAGGAAGTCATTAAACAATAACATATTTACTTAGTCTCATCTCTACAAGACCAAAGATATCTTGGTTAATTATTCAACTAATAGGAAAAGAAGGAGGAGGATGAATAGTTGGACTTACAAAATTCCAACCTGCAGTGCCAGAGTCCAGTGTTAGTGTTTGGCTGCCACCCATGGTCAGGATGACTTATTTCCTCAGCTCTTTCGTTCCAGTTTTCCACCCAACTCTGAGTCACATGGCTACACCAGCCTGGCTATGAAAGAAAGCCAGAAAGAAAGTTATCGTTCAGTTCATGACATTCAGGGGGTAAGAATAATCACCCTAGTTATGGTCAAGGCAACTAGCTAGTTATAAGGAAGCAAAAAATTGGGGGAGAGAGAAATTTAATTATTTGTTTTCAAAATTTTTATTAACTAAATATATGCATGTGTGTTAAGTGGTCATTAGTATGCCTGAGAGAATGTTGTAACATACCAATCAGATGCAACATTGTTATGTCATAAGAGGGTAATGTATCCAGCTTAGTTACTAAAAGTAGTGCTCTAAAGTGTCACTATTGTGACATTTAGGGGCTATGAATACCAACTGGGCATTGCAGATGCTCTGGAGGAAAATAAAGAGGGTGAGGAATGTTTTGGTTTTATATTGTATTCATAAAAATAGGATGCAGGAGTCTGGAAACCTGATGCGAGTGTCTGCTGGACAGTGTAAGAGTCCTGTTCATTGTCATGTTTTTCTGCAGTTGAGCTGGGAGAGGGGTGTGAGCCAGGAACACACAGAGGACATGCTCCAGTCTTCTCCTATCAGTCCTATGGTTTTTGTATTAACTGAATGCCCATCAGGTCCCCTCATCTGAAAGCAGGATCCACCAATATTCCTGCCTATTTCGTGTTGAATACACTGCTCCTCCTTCATGGAAACTTTTGCCTACCCCTAGCCCTGTTTACTTTCTGGAGAACTGCACTGTGGTAAATGGGTCATGGGTCATGGGGTCAGGTAATGACAAAGCCCTGGAACTCCTTTCACATCAAGCTTTTATCAAGATCAGCTGATTCCACTTCTTAAAGGCTGCCATTTTCTTTGATTTCCACTGTCATCTTTCATAGCTCATAAGCCCAAACTGCTAAGCTTTTGCTGGGACATTATAAAGATCCTGACATTTTCTCTGCTCACACAACAGCACCTCTTGTTACAATGAAAACTAGGTATCATTCCCATCATGCAGAATACCCTGGGATGGTCATGTGATCTTAGGCTCTTAGACCATTGTAAGGAAGTCGCCCCACAATCTTCTCCAGTCACTCTGCTGGCCTTTCTCTCTCTCTCTCTAGCTAGGCCCTGATAATCTCATCCTTCTAATCCTTTCAGTTCTTCAACAACCAGGAGTGGCCTTAGAGCCTTCTCTGTTCTTCCCCATTTTCCTAGAACACTTATACTATCCTATGGGCTCTGGCTATCCTCACACCCATTTTTCACATCACAGCTTGTATTTATTTTTTTCAGTTTTTTAACATTTATTTATTCACTGTGAGTATATGTATGTGTTTGTATGCATGTGTGTATATGGTACTACATGGATAATGCAGGTGTCAGTTTTTTCCACTTACTATGTAGATTTGGGGGATGGAACTCAGATCACTAGGATTTGCAACAAGAGCCTTTACCTGCTGAGCCATCTCACCAGCTCAGTTGTAACTGTTGTGTGCACGTGTGTGTATGTGTGTACAGGTGCATGTACACATCTGTGTGTGCTCCTATAGGGTCCAGAGGTTGATACTGGGCTTTTAACTTATTTTTTGAGACACGGTTTCTCACTGAATTTGGAACTTGCCAATTTAGCTAGCTTGGTGGCCAGCAAATCCCCCAGGATCCTCCTGACTCTGCCTCCCAAGGAAGAATGTTAAGAAGCTCTGTTTCTTTAGGGCCCCAATGGTCTTGTATGGACCATCAAAGCTACTCTGATTCAAGACAGCAATGATCATGTCCCACTTGGAGGAAACAACTACCCAATATGGGTCATGCTTTAATTCAGGGGCCACAGAGCAGCCTGTGTAGACAAGTGTCCTTAGACATGGTCTTCCCAATGTCCTACACACTTCTGAATGGAATGACAATATTCAAAAATGGGCATATTTCACAATCAGCTAACCAACCAACCAACCAATCAACCAGCTAATAATAAAATATTTCTCTTTTAAAAATATTTTATTATTTTTATTTTATATGTGTGAGTGCCTTTATGTATGTAAGTGCACCCATGCTGTGAAGTGCCCACAGAGGTCAGAAGAGGGCATTGGATCCCATGGAATTGGAGTTACAGATGGTTGTTAGCCGCAATGTGGGTGCTGGGAATCGAATCTGGGTCCTCTGCAAGAGCAGCCAGTGCTCTTAACTGCTAAGTCATCTCTCTAGCCCCAAAGAGTTCTCTTGAGCAAACGGCAGATTAGGTAATATGACAAGCTGAGCTGAGTTTGCATCATGTAAGGGCCACACATAACACCTGACCCATAATTAGTGTCCAGTAGATTTCTTATAAGTGAAATGAGAAGGAAGCTCAAAAGAGGAAATGCATGCTGTACTACCTGGTTTCTCACTTATATTTGGTGGCTTATATTGGTTTCTCATTTATACTGGTAGCTAGATTCACTTAAAGTCCAAAAGGGACTCAGTATTATGATAGGACCAAATGACTATCAAACACTATTGACTCAGTATTATGATAGGACCAAATGACTATCAAACACTATTTTACACTATGTTAGATGTCTAGTATTAAATGTATCAATGTTAAATTTTCTTTTTGAGACAGGGCCTCACTATGTAGCTCTGGTTGGCCTCAAATGTACAGAGATCCACCTGCCTCTGCATCCCAAGTGCTGGGATTAAAAGTGAGTGCCATCATACCCATTCTCGATGTTAAATTTTTTAAAGATTTATTTTATTTTGATTTATGTGTGTATGTTCGTGTACGGGTGCTTGCAGAGGCTAGAAGAGGGCATTAGATTCCTCTAGAGCTGGAGTTACAGGCATTTATGCCTGATTCAAGTCCTGTGGAAAAGCAAAAAGCTCTCTTAACTGCTGAACCATCTCTCCAGCCCTAAATGTTAAATGTTATTTTAAATAGCATTTTTTTATTTAAGTTTGAATATTAATTGAACATGCAGTGGCTAATGACTTAAGTCAGGTTTTAGATTATGACTATGCAAGACAAAATAAAATACTCACTTCTATATTAAAGTACTTACAGTTAGACACAGCATAACTATTATTTGTAATATCACTGCCTCTCATAATGTGAAAACTTAAACCAAGGGCTAATGCTCACATATCTTTCTTTGGCCCCTCCACTGATGAAGTCTGCAAATTTGTATTTGGTATTGTAGAGCCTTTAACAACGATGAAAGATGGCTTCCCACTGTACAAAGATGAAGAAAGCCCTCTTCAGAGAGTTAGCTCCTGGGAGGCAGAGGCTATGTTTTCAGCTGC